GTATCCATGTTCCTGCAAAGTCTTTGATGTTCCTTGATTCGTAGGCCGATTTTTCGTCCTGTTTCACCAACATACTTCTGCTCACAGTTACCGCATTTGATGCGATAAACTCCCGAACATTTAAGTTTATCCGTCTTCTCGTGTTGCGTTGGTAGGCCGGTGAAAAGTGTTTTCTTATCCTTTGTTATCACCTTGATATTCCATTTTCCTAATTAAGGTCGCAATTGTTGGAGACTGCGACCATCCATCTTGGTCTTCATACCTTCGATTAGTGTGAAACGTTAATGCTCACCTCTTGTCATTTTCTGCTTGGCCCCCATTTCCGCTCGACAGGCTCGCAAAGAGTCCCGACGTCTGGAGGCGATGCTGAGCCATCTGCTGTCCAACTCAGGCAGCTCCAAGTCGAGTGGACCTATGAACACTGCCTTCTCAAAGAGCGATCTGGCCAGCGTAATTGGCAACGAGAACCTTCAGTCGTCGAGACTAGGCCTGCCAAAGATCAGCGACTTCGCGGAGTCGATGGACGTGAGTCGTCTTTCACCTGAGCAACTCGCAGCGTTAGCTCTCTACTACTCTGGCCCGTTCGCCGAGGCTCATTCGGCCTCCCATGCTCCTGCCTCTGCTCACGTTGCCCAGGGCAACAGCAAATCCGAGGCAGACTTTGGAGAGGCCTTTGGCCGAGGTCTGCCCTCGGACCCGGGCAAACCGTCGCCTCGTCCCCTCGGCATCGCTCCGGACGAGCCTCTGACGCAGCCGGCCCCCGAGACCAGTACAGCCCCGGCAACTCTGTTGGTACCGTCGGCTGCCGGCCTGCTCTCCGGCCTCAATCTCATGCATCCCGCTGCGTCTGGTCTCTCTCCGTCGAGTGAGTTGAGGTGGAGTGGATCTTTTCGGGATACCTTATTTGCTGATACACACATACACAAAACACTCACACCACTATCACACCGATCAACCGGGTCCGTTGCAAATGGAATTTGCCCAGGGCCACTTAAGATCACCACATTTCAGCAATACCATCCCTGCCATCGGGTCGTTTCGACCACGAAGAGAAACTGACTTCCGGAGAATTTCTTTGTTCTTCCTTTCGGTCAGTCTGTAAAAGCGAAAAGGGATGTGTGAATTTGCCCCTGTTGAGCTCATGTTTACTTTACAAAAATTTCACTGAGCCGTAAGTCTTAATATGACCATTTTTGTAATTTCAAAAGGTACGAATACTTGGCACAAATAGGTCGGGGCTGCGGAACGATGCGCCGAGGACATATTTGCACCATTTCATGCACAAAAATACGCATAGTAACTCATTTTCATGCACACACGCATACACAAACATCTAGAAATCTATCGTTTTCATCAAGCACCTTGATATTTCTTGACCAGACAGTCTAGCTAGTTTCGATAAGTTGATAAACCGGTTTACTCATCGTTTTGAGTAATATTGTATCCGTTTGGCAGCATGTTCCGTGAATATTTGAATTTATTTTTCGTATTTTTAGTGGAGTTTCGAGACTTCTATTAAATCACCCAATTTCGTTTAAGGTGATGAAGGACTGGTAGTAGAATTTTTCCACAATGCTATGAGTAGAGCTGACGTTTCTATTGAATTTCACCTAGCCTGCAATGGAAACGTCAGCTCTACTCTTATCATTGTGAGAAAATTCTTCTTCTACT